TCCTCCTCGTCCTCCTCCTCCTCCTCGTCCTCCTCCTCCTCCTCCTCCTCCTCTCCTCCTCCTCCTCCTCCTCCTCCTCCTCCTCCTCCTCCTCCTCCTCCTCCTCCTCCTCCTCCTCCTCCTCCTCCTCCTCCTCCTCCCTCCTCCTCCTCCTCCTCCTCCTCCTCCTCCTCCTCCTCCTCCTCCTCCTCCTCCTCCTCCTCCTCCTCCTCCTCCTCTCCTCCTCCTCCTCCTCCTCCTCCTCCTCCTCCTCCTCCTCCTCCTCCTCCTCCTCCTCCTCCTCCTCCTCCTCTCCTCCTCCTCCTCCTCCTCCTCCTCCTCCTCCTCCTCCTCCTCCTCCTCCTCCTCCTCCTCCTCCTCCTCCTCCCTCCTCCTCCTCCTCCTCATCCTCCTCCTCCTCCTCCTCCTCCCTCCTCCTCCTCCTCCTCCTCCTCCTCCTCCTCCTCTCCTCCTCCTCCTCCACCTCCTCCTCCTCCTCCTCCTCCTCCTCCTCCTCCTCCTCCTCCTCCTCCTCCTCCTCCTCCTCCTCCTCCTCCTCCTCCTCCTCCTCCTCTCCTCCCTCCTCCTCCTCCTCCTCCTCCTCCTCCTCCTCCTCCTCCTCCTCCTCCCTCCTCCTCCTCCTCCTCCTCCTCCTCCTCTCCTCCTCCTCCTCCTCCTCCTCCTCCTCCTCCTCCTCCTCCTCCTCCTCCTCCTCCTCCTCCTTCCTCCCTCCTCCTCCTCTCCTCCTCCTCCTCCTCCTCCTCCTCCACCTCCTCCTCCTCCTCCTCCTCCTCCTCCTCCTCACATACATATTTTCTACACTGAGCGAAATAGTTTGGAAAATTATCTGAAATCATTATGTAATAATTAATTATTTGTTATAAAAGTTAAAGAATTTTATTATTTTATAATTTATCTATAAAATTTGTTCAATATTTGGTTATTTATTGTTAAAAATGTAATAAAAAGCCCCATTTTTAAATTAAAATTACCTTTTCCTTAAGTAAAAATAAGGTAAATAAAATTAAGGGTGCCAAAAAAAAATTAGGTAACAATAAAAAGACATTAAGTTTGAGAGATTTAACTAAATATTTGCAATGTGCTTATATTTTCAAAACTTTTAGGTTTAAAAAGTACTTACATATTTTTAGAATTTCTGGATTTATATTATATTAAAAGGACTTTCAAGTTTATCACTCATTTCTGTATAAACAAGTGTTTTTATATTTTTAAAACTTTTAGGTTTAAAAAGTACTTACATATTTTTAGAATTTCTGGATTTATATTATATTAAAAAGACTTTCAAGTTTATCACTCATTTCTGTATAAACAAGTGTTTTCTCGCCAAGTTAAACTAGATGTCATTTAAGGTTTATGTATTTAGAGTTAAATACCTGGCCTGGATATCACGCAGACAATACAAATATGTCTAGACGTCCAAAAATGAGTTTTTTCTGGACTTCCGATATCCAATGGACGTCCAGTAAAGTATACAAATGGCACACTTTTGACCATTCAGAGGACGTTCAATTCTGGAATATATTTGGACGTCGAATACTGGACATTCAAAAAACATCCAGGATTATATTTCCATTGAGACCACATTCCCACTTTTTTTACAGAACCGCAACTTACCACACACTATTTTATATTATTAATAATTTGTTTATTATTTTCGCAAACCGCTATACACCATTTTTTTTTTTTATTAAAAATTGCTGGACCTGAGCAGGAATCGAACTCACGACACATCCATTATCGTTTTACGCTTTCAATTGCTAGACGAGCTCGACCAAGGAACCACTTGAAAACTTTTTACTAGATACAGTTATAATTGAATAAGATTTCAAACTTGCTCTGATAGAATGAAATGCAATAGATTCAATTTGTCAATTTTTAATGACCAGTTATATTAAAAAAAGAAGTATATATTATAGATGAGTATTATCTGGTAGGCTTAATAAATAATGACCTAAGATGGACGTCCACTGGACGTCAAAATACTACTAAACTTAAAATTAAGTCCAAAAACAGACGTTCTCTGGGTATCGATATTCAGCTGTCAATTTAATTAGCATAAACGGACGTACACTGGATGCCCGGATATGGACGTCCTGACCCTCAAATAAATCTAAAGTGGACGTACATTGGACTATGTGTGCTGTCTGGGCATAGACGAATTTTTTGAAATAGTACTTATTTAAGTATGCACCAATATTTCCAAAATCAACTCCAGTATGATTCATTCAATAAATGTAAATATGAATGGGCAAAACATCTTTATATTGACATAATTGTACTTTACAATTTAGCCATAATAAAAAGATTTCACCCATTTTGACCAATCCTAATTGAAACACGTGGATTTATTATATTTTTTTAAATATAATTTTATAATAAAATAAACAAAATCTCCATATGAAAAATAAAATGTCAAAAATGATTAAATCATTATACTTTATATTTATGCATGTGATAAAATTCTTAGTTTCCTAATAACTTTTTTGGCACATTTTATATCTGCATTAGAATACTTAAGTGTGTAAAAATCTTCATCTTATTACTACACAAAACAAACATCAAAAAATATCACTTAACATTGCTCACGTACTAAACACAACTTGGACTGACTTTGACAGATAACATCATTTTGAGTGATACACAACTTATTTTCGCACATGCGCGTTACAAAACGGTACGCTAAAAATACCAAGCTGTCGCTTCTCCTTGATCGTTATTCTCGGCTCCAAATGTCGTAAAACACGCGTCTTTAAAAAGTTTGCTGAAAGTTGGAGTTTTAATTTTTTCGACACGAGTTTTTTGTCCACCATAATAATAACTATTGTACTAAGGTACTTTTTTTAACTGTGTTTTTGTATGGTTTTATGTAAAAAACTGGAGTTTGTTTTTAAAACTTTTTTTCATGTTTCCGATCATTCTGAATCCGAAAAAGCAAAAAAAATTCGTCTGGTCGTCTGTGTGTATATATGCTGGCACGATAACTCTAGAACGAAAGTTCTGATTGACTTACGGTTTTAATTTTCTTGAATAATTCAAACTTAGGGCGCTATTGATTTTTAGAATTTTCGGTTCATCCTAACTACTTTAATATCAATTTTCTTAAAATCCGCCTATGCATTTCTTTTGTGACAATTTTAGGAATTCTAAATATTTCTAACATCAACATTCCTAACATTCTTAACATTCCATAAATTGCAAACATTCTCTAACGACCTGTTAAACAACACCTGTTGATAGTAAAGGTGAAATTTCTAAGGTGGGTTGCATCCTTTATGCTTGCAACCATAGCCATTTTTGAGGCTATTTTTATTCTAAATTAGTCGCCAAGCCTGCCAATTTATAAAAAATATATAAGCAGTTTCTTAAAAATGACTTTTTTATGGTGGTGCTAACTTAGGAGTACTACTACTATTTCGCCCCTATCCACAAAAACACCTTCATCAAATTTACTGTCTCTCTGTCGCAACCCCATAGAATAATTAACTGGCCATTTTAATTGGCAAAAATCAGAATAATACTTGGCTGTGCTTGTCAAGTATAAAGATGTCAACTGTGATGTGTGAATGGCTCTTAAATATCAAATTATTTAAAAATATATGCTTTTTTTTTGCAAATAATTTGTAGTGTATCTCAATTAAGGCTTTCTATAAATAAAGGTACAGCAAGACAGATAATATATTGTACTTATACAAAACACTTTTTTATTATATAAAAGAGAGGTAGGATATAATGCTGGTTTTTTGCAGATAATTTTAAATATACGATTTTGGATTGCATATTCAACCAACGAATTGTAAATAATAATTAGTAAACTCCTGGTCATAAATTTCCTCAATTCATAAAATTTAAAAATTAATCTTACCTTGGGATTTTAATGACGTAATGTAATTTTGATCAATTATGATACCGAGGTATTTTGTTGTGTTTTTCATTTTAATTATAAAGTTGTCATTTATTTGTATGTTGAAAGAAGGCCTTTGTAAATTACATTGCTCTCTATGGATCTACTTTAACACAAACATAGTTTTGTGGCTATAAGTTGCTATAACCTATCGTCGCAAAACTATTAATAATTTAAACATAGTAAGTAGTAGAACGAGGTAAAACGAAGGGTAGAATAACAATAAAGTAAGGAAAATACTTAAAAAGGGCAGGTTTAAAGAGTATTATCGCAAGAAAGTATATCCGTTCTGTTTATTTATCAAGTATTGTTTGAGGTTACTTTGAAATTCATTTATTGTTTTTTTTTTTTATTTCTGTAGGCAGTCCTTTAATAAAAATTGTATTTTGTGATGGCTTGCCGTACATGAAAGTCAGATTGGCTTCTTGTATTATAGTTGTGATATTGCGAATTATATTGAATTTTTTCTAATAGATATGATGCGATGGTACTATGTCATTTTTATTTTATAAATAAATATCAATCATGTACTGAACATAATTGCAATAGTTTTCCTTCGGTCCTTTATTAATAGAATATAAATAGGCGAAGTAAGGAGCCCAAATATTTTACATGAGCAGGCTTAAAAGGTAAAATTTTTATTAGATAAATTGCTCGAACAACTTTTTAAATTCTAATCAAAAGGCGATATAGAATGGTTTTAAAAATCAAGGCTTATGAAAATCATCACATGGTTTAACCTAAGTAATGCCAATGCTTCACAAAACAAAAAATTCAACGTTCGAATACTACTATCAGCTTTCGGTCTTTCGTTCCAAGTTAAATCATTTCTCGTTTTTGTTACGCTACGAGTTTACCCTTGTGGGCCTCAGTCTCGATAAGATGGGAACCACCATTTTAGCGTCTCTCGAATTTATTAATAAAAAAATATAAATAAATACTTTTTTATTTTTTTGCTAGCGTGGCGTCGTTTTAATTGACTTACCGCGACGGTCCAAGGGGTCCCATCCGCCTCTGATTTTGATATCTAAATCATTTTTTCTTTAAAACAAATCTCCCATTAAAACATCGTTTTCTCCGCCACTTTAAATCCCCCACCCTCCGAAAAATCGCGGGAATTCATGAAACTACTTGATGATCTTGACATGGTTGGTGCATTCGACGTCGTCGCGATTCACGCATGAGCCGCGCGACTTAAAAATAAACCACACGAGAATTCGAAAATTTAACCGCGGTGCGCGCTCCACGCTCCAGTCTGGCGGGAGAACTTGTGCGGTACGGGACTGTGCTTGGAATTTGAAAATAAAATAAAAATAATAACACCGAAACGCCGAAACACCGAATCTAGCTGTTATCGATCCCAATCATTTCGAAATTTTCAAGGTAAACCTTGTTTTTACTTAGCGGACAGGTTAATCACCTAACCTAAAATTTATATTTACAATTCGAAGTTTAGAAGGCCGAGTTTGTTGGTTTCAATTAAAAACATTTCGTAAAAATATATTATTAAAATCAACCTTGGTTTAGATCTGCAGCGGTGGAAAGTTAAAAAATTTGAAACTTAGGATTATTTACTTAGTTATTCTATAAACTGTTTATCATTTTCCATGCTTTTCTATTTAATCCTCGTTTCAGAGTCAGTGACATAGAAAATAAAACACGCATTAGGAGTGACCTTACACCAATTTCCCGCAATTATGGATAATTATTATTCCTAATTAGGTATTATTATTGCTTTGCTTCACCCAGTTTTTACTTTTCACTTCATATTTTTTTGTCTACTGATAATGTGCAAAAACCACCAAAGTTGTTGCATTTTAATTTTATTAGTTAATATGGATTAAATTTTTTTATAATACTCGTATTAATATTCCCCTACTTTTAACTGGGAACTGGGCAATTAATCGGGTGTTTCTATTTTTAAATGAATCTCCAATTTTTTAAAAATGTAACACCGTTGGATTATAATATAAGTAGTAAAAAAATTTACGCATCGCTGGAATATGACCAAACAGCGTTTGTTAATTTTTACCTGAGTCAGAATACCAATTTTGAAAAGTTAGGTATACCCGTATATTGAAAGAAAAAATCCTCATATCTTCCTTTTCATCACTCTTAACTGAATTTTAGGAATTTTCATTTTCATAGAAAAATCTGTATTCTAAATTTCAGCTCCATTTTCAACCCCATTTTTTCTTTATATTTTTATGCATTTGAAGTTTTATAGACGTGACATAAGTAATCTTGTCCATTTATTTATTACGATTTCTACTTTTTGTCAGTTTAATTTCTTCTACCCCATTTCTGTTTTCCTTTCCATCATTCTTAGATACAATTTTTCTGTAAATGCCCCTGTTTTCATTCTACAGGGTGATAATAGTAAAATATGTATATGTACATGTTAGTTAATGGCTGTTATTAGTTAACACACTATATTTCGATAAATTACGATAAATCAATGACGTAGAATCAAGGGATAAGAAAATAATTTTATTTACAACCATATATGTAATGTCATTACTAACGTCATTGAAGGTTGGGAAGTGTCACATTACACATCTCTACTTCCCGCCCTCACTTCCCGCCCTCATTTCATCTATTCTAGATGAATATTTTTTATATTTAAAAAAAATAACAAATTTTTTTGACAAATTTTATAATACCTATTTAATAGCAAACAATAAAAAACAACAATGAACTAAAATACAACAAACTACTTATTAATATTTATTATTCGCGAATTTAATATCCAGCTTTATCTGACATTAATTTATATTGGTGACAGTTGTTTACCCCGTAATCACAGTAACAATTAGGCATTCCAAACAAATTAATTACCAGTGGGCAGGTTTGGTAGATCTGACGGTTGCGACATACGATGTATTCTATCTACAATACGTAAAATCATAAATAATGGATTACATTTAAATATTTTATATCGAACACTATAAAAATATTAATTAAAAAAACTGCTTGTACATTTTTTTTAAAACTGGCCGGATTGGCGACTGATATTTCGAATAAAAATAGCGTTCAAGATGCAAGACTATGTCGCTACCCCCTTAGATATACGAGACCTTCCCACTGGCAGGTATTGTTTGACAGGTCGTTGGAATGCCTAATACATTTACTTGAATGTTCTGAGAAAACTGCGCTCTTGGTAATTTGTCGTTAAATGTAATATTTTAGGTATGTTCAGAACGAAACAGAGATTTATTAACTCTGATCGAAATATGATGGTTGTAAATAAAATAGTATACAAACCTCGGTAGGAAGTTTCATTCCTGTCTCGAGATCATACCGCGGTGTGTAATATACTATTAGTCCAAACTTTTTGAAACACTATATTTTGAATAATAATTATTCCTCATGAAATTTGTCTCTATAAAACATTCCATTGCTGACATTTTTTAGTTTTAGTCCTACTCAAACATGAAACCTATGTACAATTTTGATAATGAATATTAAAAGGTCCATTAACTAATGGGACCAAGGTTTTGTTGACTTTATAATCCCATAAGTTAATGGACCTTTTAAGATTGATTATAAATTTTAAACTTAAGCTATATTCCAGCCTGCGGTGAACAGATTAGATTTTGGGCAGGTTCAGAACATCTGGGGGTATTTTATAGTGGGTCGTTTTCATATTTTATAAAATATGTGTGTTATTTAAGTTTGAATAAGAAAATTCTTTTTACAAAAGTTGCTTCTAATATTATTCTCTATAATTTTTGTCCTCTACAAAATTTTCCTAAAATGGTCCGTATTCGAGAAATTTGACAAAAAGTAAAAAATTCAAATTTTTAGGAAAATTGTACAAATAAAAGTTGTTTGTGATACCATTCCCTATAATTCTCGTCCTATACATAATTTCTCTAAAATTGACCTTATTCGAGATATTTGAGAAAAAGTGTAAATTTCGAATTTTGAAGGAAACTCAAAAACGGAGAAAGAGAGAAACACCAACTTTTAAATTTAGTCTTTAATCGATTCTGCAATAAGATTAAATTTTGGGCATAGTCGGAAAATCTGGGAATACTTTAAGGTCATTTTTCTACTTAATGGAATATATCTGTTATTTACGCTTGGAAAGGAAAATTCTTTAAATAAAAGTTGCTTGTAATGTTATTCAGTATAATTTTTGTCCTTTACAAAATTTTCCTTAAATGGTCCGTATTCGAGAAATTTGACAAAAAGTGCAAAATTCAAATTTTAAGAAAATTGTTTCGAGTAAGATGTATGTAGAAAATGTATATATTTAGTTTATCCTCTAAACATTTAGAGGGGTGATACAATAGGTTGTACAAAATAACCGGAAAAACCCGTAATGACTAGACAGAAAAGTCGTGTGTTGGACACATTTTTGGACAGATTTTTAAGTTAAAGTCTTTACTGCAAGAGAAGATATTAAGAAATGATGTATTTATGAAATTCACTTGAATGAAAACTGGGACGTTTTCAGAAAAATTATATTTTGCTTTTCCTAATAATTAGTTAAGATCTACAAGTTCCCCAGTTTATGATACTTTAACCTGGTACAAAAAATATATAAAATTCCTTGTCCAATATGTATGTTACGTTTTCCAGTTCTTGTTATTTTAATTTTTTCTACCAGTCTACTTCCGTATTTCGTGTGCAAAATTATATATTATATATTTTTCCTTAAGGACTAATAAGATATCTTGATACGGATACAATTTTATTACCGGTATACCCTAATAGCTATATTGCTTTGGAAGATACAAGTCCTTAAAATGTGGAAAAATATAGTGAGACAACCGGTATTTAATCTACATCATTCTTTACATACTTTTTATATACCTACTTAACGTATTTTTATATAGTTTCCTAGAGCTCGATTTAACATCTTGGAATTTCATTTTACATTTTCCTTTAAATTCTTTTAATTTCACCTTGGCTTTCACCGTGACTTTCACTTTTTCCATTTAAAGAAAACAAACATAATGACGTAATAATTGAATATTTACCAACTGTAAACGTCCATATATAATTGTTATTATTTTTTTTTTTTTAAATAAAAAAATTAAACTGCCTTTTTTAAACTATTCTCTTGAATTATACCTGTGGTTTCTCCCCCAGAGTCATCTTATGGACTTACCCTGCCATCACAAGACCTTTGCTAACATACAGTGCAGTTGTCTGGGTATTGAAAACCCAAAAATTTACGGCTTTCCGCACACTAGAACAAATTCAAAGAGCAGCATGTCTCAACATAACAGGAGCCAGGGAAGTCATTCTTAATCTCACTCCTCTTTTACATTAACGAGGTTCTGATGATAATGACACGCTTCCGCAAGGTTGTAGTAGAACCTAATGTAGGATCTGAGTAAGCGAGACGTCGCTTTTGGCAGGAGGCGCTCGATTCGCTACCAGTGCTTCAAGCGAACATGGACTCCATCTCAACGAGATATATTTATCATAAGCCAAATAAAGTTATAACAGAACAAATAGAAGAGCCGGAAGTGGTTGGTACGATTCATACTTACACCGACGATTCTAAAACAAAACAAGGCTCAGGATATGGAATATACTCCAGATCCATTAAAACGCCTAATCGTAAAATGGGCTGTGAGCAATAGTGTCAGTGTAGTTCAAACAGAGCTCACAGGGCTGCTCATAACAGCATAAGAAGTCACCAATATCATTGAAAGATACATGCTTATCTATATAGATAGCAGATAAGCACTACTCACCCTGAACAGACCACGATTTTACTAAGGGGTTAGTACTATAATATCACGAAGCTTTGGCCGAAGTATCTATTAACAATGTGATCACCTTAAGATGGATAAAAGGTCACACCACATCGAAAGGTAACCGTCTTGTTGATTAACTGGCCAGAACGCAGCCATCCAAATACTTTTTGGACCTGGCCCTTCTATTGGTCTGACAAAATCAGTAGAGATAGACCTAATTAAAGAACATTCCCTTCTGAAGTTCGAGAAAAGATGGGATGAAATAAAAAACTGCAGATTTTCCAAGCAGCTCTTAAGTTATCCTAATATCACTACAGCAAACAAATACCTACTTGACTATGACTATACAGAATATGTGCCTGGTCACAGGCATTCTGACTGGTCATTGCCAAGTACAGAAGCATTTCCATATCCTGGGCTGTCAAAATCTGCACACTGCAGGGAGTACGAACAAGAAGATGATATCATCGAGCATATCATCTTCGATTGCCCCAATTTTTAAAATATTTGTGTTCGGCGAGTATCGTCTTATCGGCCGATATAAGAGAAGCACCTCTTGGCGATGTTGTCAACTACAATAAATCTGTAGGCTGGATCACGAGCTAGGAGGTGCCTATCATCTTAACAAGATGCACAATGGGCCTGGAGAAGTCTAATGCGGTGGAG